AACTGCGACCTCCGCTTCCCAGGCTCAAGTGATCCTCCCACCTCAGTCTCTCAAGTAGTTGGCACTACAGGCATGCACTACTACGCTAATTTTTTTTTTTTTTTTTTTTTTTTTGTAGAGACAAGGTTTTGCCATGTTGCACAGACTGGTCTTGAACTCCTGGGCTCAAGCAATCCTCCCACCTCGGCCTCCCAAAGTGCTGGGATTACAGGTGTGAGCCACTGCACCCAGCCCTGATTTTAAAATAAATTAAAATCAAACGTTTTCATGAGCCCCTAAAAGTATCTTGGTTCCCCACTATGCGTAACAGAGAAGTCAGACCTGATCATTACAAGATCGTGTGATAGTGGGAACAATCCAATGTGTAATGTCTTAAAAAGTATGTATAGTTCACTTCAGAAAGAGTGTGTATGTGTGTGCATGTAAGGGGAAGTCTGCTTCTCTTTTTATGCTCTAAGCTAGTATTTTAATTGTCCTTGGTCAAACCTTTATTCAACTTCCGGGCAAGAGCAAACCAACAGTTATCATACTTCACTGTCTTTAAGAAATCAATTTTATGGGCCAGGCGCGGTGGCTCACACTTGTAATCCCAGCACTTTGGGAGGCTGAGGTGGGTGGATCACAAGGTCAGGAGTTCAAGACCAGCCTGACCAACATGGTGAAACCCCGTCTCTACCAAAAATGCAAAAATTAGCCAGGCATGGTGGCACGTGCCTGTCATCCCAGCTACTTAGGAGGCTGGGGCAGGAGAATCGCTTGAACTCAGGAGGCAGAGGTTGCAGTGAGCCAAGATCGTACCATCGCACTCCAGTCATCTCAAAAAAGAAAAAAAAGAAAAGGAATCAATTTTGTTTTTATTTTAACTTTTATTTTTTTAGAGACAGCATCTCGTTCTGTTGCTCAGGCTAGAGTGCAGAGGTGCCATCATAGTTCACTGCCGCCTTGAACTCTTGGGCTCAAGTGATCCTCCTACCTCGGCCTCCTGAGTAGCTGGGACTACAAGCATGTGCCACCACACCCATAAAATGCATATTAAAATGTTGGGTTCTGCCACTCAGAGGATATGATTCCCTTGTTAACATGATCTTGTATGCCTCAAGAGGAGTTATTTTTAGGATGATAGTATGTAGTTTTGATGTGTGGTGGGACCTAATTCCTGTTTCCTGAATAAAGTGAAATCTAGACCTTAAAAATATACCTCCGTCCCAAAATTGGAAGCTTGAGACAGGTTAATTTAAAGAATTTCAGGCTGGATATGGTGGCTCACGCCTGTAATTCCAAAACTTTAGAAGGCCGAGGTAGGTGGATCGCTTGAGCCCAGGAGTTCAAGACCAGCCTGGGCAACATGACAAACTCCTGTCTTTACAAAATATACAAAAAATCAGCTAGGTGTGTTGGTGCACACCTGTAGTCCTAGCTACTTGGGGAGGCTGAGGCAGGAGGATCACCTAAGCCTGGGAGGTCGGAGCTGCAGGAAGCCATGATTGCACCACTGTACTCCAGCCTGGGCAATAGAGTGGGACCCTGTATCAAAAATATATATAAAATAAAATAAAATGAATTTCAAGGCTCAAAAGAAGAAAAAGATGAACTATAAGTCAGAAGATGTTGAAGGGTTTGCTTCATCATAGCAGAGATTCCAGGCAGAGCAGCAAGGGCTCAAATATCAAGAAAATGATACAAAGGGATACAGTTAAGGAACTACTTCAACAACACAGTTCAAGTCAGTTCACAAACATTTACTGAGCATCTACTATGTGCCAAATACTGACACTTCCAGTGTGGAGTAGGGAGTTGGGGATGTTGGGAGGCAGAGAGAAAACACATAAAATAAAAACATAGGGAAAGAAGTTCAGTAGGTACAGGATATTTCTTTAAGAGTCAAAGTGAGAAAAAGATGCCGAGGAGTGATATCCAAAGTGGCAGATGACTCAGAAAGAATTAGAGCACTAAGAGCCTCTTGGAGATGGTCACAGGGAAGTCACTGGCAGCTCTGATGACAGCTGCTTCCATGGAGTGGTGGATGTGGAGGACTGCTAAGTAGCAGAGGTTGTTCCTGAGGATCCTGAAGCCTGGCCAGGAGCAGCAGCAGAACTGGCTGGTTTTACAAGTGCCTGCTTTGGCATAGTCTGGAACTAACGTAACATAAAAGCCAATGTGAATCCAGGGCTTGCCATGGACCATGCATTGTTCCAGGCATTTTGCACATCATTTAATCCCCCTATCAACCTCTGCAGTAGGTACTAACTTTAAACCCATGTTTCACAGATAGGGAAACTGACACACAGACGGTTTAAGTCACTTGCCTAGATCATACAACTAAGAAAAGTGGTAGAGCTGGAATAAGAGCCCAGGCTCTCCGACTCTAAGCCCTGTGCTTTATCTGCTGGCTGATACTGATACTGAGTGGTCTCTGGACATCTTTGTAAATCACATACTGACTTGGCCGTTGGTTTTGTTGTTGCTGTTCATATATCAATTTACAGAGGCAAGGGAAGCAGAGAGAAGTGGTGTGTTGACACAGCAGTACAGCAGCAGAAGCAGCACTGGCATCCCCCGCATAAGCCTGAGTGACTTTCCCACAGCTTAAACCTTGGAGTAACTGCAGAGAAGGGGGATTTGAAGCTCTGAGCATTGTGTGAAACAGAGCCAGGAAATGCAAAAGAAGTCGACTGAGGTCCCCAGAAAGGGGAAGTGGGGACACCATTCAAAAGAACAAACATCTGACCATTCCCTGGCCTAGATCTATGTCAACATCCTTGGAACCCCCTAAAGAGAAAAGTTTTTCTTAAGAAGAGGTGACTTTGTTTTCTCTCCCTGAACATTTAGGAAATGCCGGGGTTTCAAAACCTTTCCTCATTAGGCCCAGGTAGTTTTAGATTCACAGCACTGGCTTTCGCTCATGGGTGCAAAGCACATTCCGAACAAAAAACATACTGCCTGACATTATTAAAATTAAATATGTGTGTGTGTGTGTGTATAAATATATATACATGTGTGCGTGTGTGTGTGTGTGTGTGTATATATATATATATATAGAGAGAGAGAGAGAGAGAGAGAGAGGGAGAGAATGAGAGAGAGAGACCATCTTGGTTTTTACTTGAGTACCTAAGAGGAAAAACACAATCCAGGAATAGAGGACCATAATTTGCTTTTTAAAAAAAAATCAAAAGTTAATGACATTACTTTATCAGCACGGAGTGTGTGCAATTGACCTGTGGGCCCTTCTCTGTCTGGTAATGAAAATACATGCCTTGGAAATGTGTATGCACGGACAGAGAAAATGGAGGGGATAATTGTCATAATGATCTGGTAATAAAGGTAGACCCTGATTTTTGTGACTACAGTAATTGCTGCTTCTACTGTCACCACAGCTTAAGTAAAATAGTGGTGAAACATCTATCAGAGAAGCCGAAAGGGAGACAGTATTATCTGTTGAAGAAAAATAGTGGTGTCTGCAATGGCTGCATTACAGATGCCACCGCTGAGGCATCCATGAAAAGAGGTTTGCATACTTGCCTCTCCAAAGCAACCTGTGCGGAGCTTTAACAAGTCTACGGTGATTATATTTTTAAAAATCTAATACTATTTAAGTACATTTGACCTTGAACAACATGGAGGTAGGGGTGCCAACCCCTGTGAATTCGAAAATCTGAGTTTAACTTTGACTCCCCAAAAACTTAACTATTAATAGCCTACCTGTTGACTAGAAGTCTTACAAATAACATAAACAGTCCGTGAATGCATATTTTGTATGTGTCTTATTATATAATGTATTCTTACAGAAAAAGTAAGCTAGAGAAAAGAAAATGTTATTAAGAAAATCGTAAAGAAGAGGGGCTGGGCACGGTGGCTCAGACCTGTAGTCCCAGGACTTTGGGAGGCTGAAGCAGGCGGATCACTTGAGGTCAGGAGTTCGAGACCAGCCTGGCTAACGTGGTGAAACCCAGTCTCTACTAAAAATACAAAAATTAGCTGGGCGTGATGGCAGGCACCTGTAATCCCAGCTACTCGGGAGGCTGAGGCAGGAGAACTGCTTGAACCCGGGAGGTGGAGGTTGCAGTCAGCCGATATCGTGCCACCGCACTCCAGCCTGGGCGACAGAGTGAGACTCTGTCTCAAAAAAAAAAAAAAAAAAAAAAAAAAAAAAAAAAAAAAAAAAAAAAAAAAAAGAGAAAATATATTTGCTATTGATTAAGGGGAAGTGGGTCATCATAAAGGTCTTCATTCTCCTTGTCTTCAAGTTAAGTAGGCTGAGGAGGAGGAAGAAGAGCGGGGGTTGGTCTCCTTGTCTTAGGGGTGGCAGAGGCAAGAGAAAATCAAGGTATGTACCTGTGCCATTCAAACCTGTGTTGTTCAAAGGTCAACTGTACTTTTCTTTAATCCTGTGGTAAATTACAGACTTTATAAAGGGTCCTTTTGTAATTGTGAATAATCACCTCTTAATGGATTTCTAAGGAATGTATCATTCCATGTAGAATGTTCTGAAAGCTAGTTATACCTGTTCTCAGTAACAGATACAAATGGTCATTGCAATAAGAGATGATTATAATGAAGAGTTAACATGAAAAAATAAAATATTCCTTTCTATTACTTTGGAAATGACATTGGGCAGGGAAGGACCAATATAAAACCTCAAAGCTGTGCATTTTTCTGTACATGTCACCTCCAAATGGCTCTGTAGTCTGAAACTCAGACTACCTGTCTTTCTCCTTGAGCTCAGTCTGTCACTGTGTGGCTCAAGAATTCTCTGAGTTAATGTGTGGTGGTTGAGAATGGAATTTACCATAGTCATTTTCCCTCCCGACATATCTATTATAAAAAAAAAACAAAAACCAAAAACTATCTACAGTGATTTAGAAACTTTGCTTTCTTTCAGGACAACACAGCAAGCTACCATCTCATGTGCTCCAAGAAGAATTGACTCTTCCCCCTACTTCCCCCATTTCAAGGAGGTGGGGAGGTGGGCAGAGGCACAGAATCCTGGCCTTGGCGATAGGATGTGGTGCGATGCTGTTCTTCTGTATGTACTGTCCCACGGGGTGCCTGAGGATACGGTACTGGCTGCGGTCCAGGTAAATTGGAGACAATCCTAGAAGTCAGAACATCCATCATGCTTAGTAAGATCCTAGGTTGTAACGGCTGCCTTGAGCCTTCAGACTTTTTTTTTATACAGCTCCCGGTCATAAAGCACTCTTTCTGCCTCTGCTGCCATATGTTTTTCCAGCTGGACTTTCACCAGTCTTCCACTCTCCAGAAAGTTCTTACTCATTCAGCCCAAGGGTATCTCATCATCTTTTCTGAGGACTGCTGGAAGTTTCAGCAGGTGTCCTGGCCACATGGAAAATCAAGCTAGCTAAGCTTGCGGATGAAGGTCTCCAATTATGAGTCTGTGCCCCGAGATGCTGTTGCCTTCCTTATTCAATTTAAATTTAGAGAAATTTAAATAAACATATATAAATGCATGAAAGTGTATAAGAAAAAAGTCCTTATTAGTATGCATTCTCTGGGACTCAGACATCCTCAGCAAATCCAACAGCAAGGAAATCGAATAACTTTTTGTCTTTTAAGAATAGTTTTTGTCTGAAGATTGGAATCTACCCACTTTTTTACCCTGATCAGCCAGTGACCTCTGAACCTTGCTTTTCATTGTTCATCTCTATTCACCTGGGGCACTGAGGATGTTTTTGCTTTTCCAGATGCTGTTTTTACAATTGGTTGACACAACGGCTAGAGTCACGACTCTTGGGTATGCTTCGTAGTTATTTGCCTATGGGAAAACGTTCACTCTTCCAAACTTTTTTTTTTTTTTTTTTTTTTTTTGAGATGCAGTCTTGCACTGGCGCCCACCACCATACCCGGTTAGTTTTTGTATTTTTAGTAGAGACGGGATTTCACCATGTTGGCCAGGCTGGTCTTGAACTCCTGACCTC